GAGACCCCCCCCCCCGGGAGACCCGGGGGCTGCAGTCCAGTCCAGTCCCGCCCCGCCCCGCCGTACGCGGGGTGGCCCCGCCGGGGCTTGGTGCGGCCCGCGGCGCGGGAGCGGAGCCTCCCGGCAGCCGGACGGACCGGGCGCTTGCTTTATTGGTGGCGGCGCCATCGCGGCTCTGGGCGCCGGGCTCCAGCTCTCGCACGCTCACAACTGCCGGATCAATTGTTTTGTGTCTTAAAGTTCAACAGATTTAAAGCTGGGTTCAGACGGATTCCACTTCATTAGGGATCCCGGGGCGCTTGCCATTTCTGAGGTATTGGTGGTGCCTGCCTAGTCCTTTGAAACCAGAAGGTGGTTTCTCTGCACAGATGAAGTTCACCTTTGCCTTTCCCACCTGGCCGTTCGTGGCGTTCTTGGGAAGAAGTTTCTGCTTCACAGTTGAACAGGATGTTGGTTTTGGGGAGGCAGCGCCAGTGAAGGTGGAGCTTGCCGTCCTAACAACCATAGGTGTCCCAGCAAGGAGTGCACAGGAGGGGATCAGGGTACCGAAGTATTTACGTACAGCGGTGCTGAGGAGTCAGTCTGTGCAGAGCAGGATCGATGCATTCGCTGACAGCAAAGTGTGTCAGTAAAGTTAATTTATAAATGTTGTGGAATACCACGTGCCATGGAGGCAGGTGTGTTCCTTTCGTATGAGTGAAGAGCCCCAAATAGTAAGAGAGAGAGGAGTTGGGGGTGCGTAAGGATGCATGTGAACTTTCCTTCATAGATTTGATCAGCTACATGCTACGTTTCTGGATGTGATGCTTGTATTTGACTTCACTTCACTTCTCACGGTGTTACTAGCCTGGAAGATAATGTGCAGTCGTGTCCTTACTCAAATCAACATCACGCACAGTTAACATTGCCTTGGACTTTACTGAGCCAGCTATAAAAAGGAAAACTTTTGTGCATTTGGTAATCTGTTACCATAAAGCCCAATTCAGAATCCTAGGTTACGGTAGTAGTCAAAGGAGTTCATAAATGCTAGACATTGGAATGACATTAAAGCTTTTAAGATTCATTTTTAAGAACATGAGTTATTTTATTAATAATGACTATGATATTGCTATTGGGCAATGCTAGCAATTTTCAGGTGGGTTGATACAACTACAGAGTTTTTCCAATTGATTTAGTGCAGTACTTTTTCCTCAGGGAATGCTGTGAAGGTAGCTGCTCTGGCTTAATTCCCTTCCCTGAAGAGCTGGCAACCTCCACTGATCCCACCCCCTTTCTTGCTGTGATGGCCATTCCCTCCCAATCTCCTAATGCAACACATACTATAGCTGCCTCCCATTTCTTATCTCTGTGCCCAGGTTAGATTAGGAGGGTCTGAGTCACAAACAGAATGTCCCCTTCCTTTAGTGCATGTTCTGGCACACGTTGTGCTAAGCAGCAGGAGCAACAGCTTCCCTCTTCTTCTGATTTAAGTAGCGTCTGCTTCTTGCATAACTAAACAGACTTTGGAGTGAATTCCTTAGGCATGGAAAATTGTACATCAAGGAACAGCCAGGTAAAGAAGTGGATATTGCATTCCAGACTCGTGTTGTTCATGATAATTATAGTCAGTGTGTCTGTACTCTGAATTTTTTTTGGGGGGGGGGCATTTCACAATCCACGCTTAAAAATTTAACCATCTTTTCTTTCCTGAGTTTGTGCAGGATGGGGTCTTGAACAAGGGGACTAGCACTTCCCACTAGAAAAAAGTCCCAATTAAGTTGTCAGAAGTTTGGGAGTCTGCAGTGTTTGTCTTAATTAAAAGATAGTGTTGAAAACATGTCAAGCAGGACAGGTGAGAAGCTAAACGGGGGCTATAATTTTCTATTTATGCCAGGTGCAGAATGAATTGGTTTTAGCTGTTAATTCACTGTAACTTAAAGGTCTGATAGCTAAGATGTCAGCGAGTATGCAGAGAAAAATTAATCTTTGTACATTTTGAAGACAGACCTTTTTGTATAAGGATGAAATGTGTTTTCTTAATGAATGAGCCTTAATTATGGGATATTTATTTAAGAGGAACTGAATGTAAAGTTTATGATGCCCAGTCCTGCAAACTGGACTCGCTGTGGAAGTCAGTATATGAACCAAAATGGGACTGCCAGTTTACACTAAAGTTGACAGTGTTTGCTGACTTATACTCTTGTCCTGAGTCTGCTGGATGACTGACTGCCTTCTGTGAAATGCTGGACACTTTTCAGCTCTAGCTGGAGATGATGCTTTTTGGAAGCTTATTCTTTAATAGATTTACATGTTAGATATTTTGTTCGGCTTAGGAAGAGGTGGCTGCCAGCCTGAGGGCAAACTTAATTGCTCTGCTAGGCAGAATGAGCTGTGAGGTGCCACAAACATTTGTAAAGAAAAACCTGGGGACCTATGAATTCAGGGACCCATTTTAATTTTACAAATAAATGTAATGCATTTTGCAGGACGAAAATGGCCTGAAAGACAGAATTATCCGAGTGGGCACCAGGAAGAGCCAGGTAAGTTTCTGTTGTTCTAACTTCTGTCCTGGCATGACTGTACCGTTGAGTCTCTTTTCAACAGGAAATATTGTGCTACTTAAAACCTTGCTGCTGTATTCCTTAAAGTAGAAAATGTCGGTGGCACATTTCAGTTTTAAAAAGCCTTTGTGCAGTACTTACGTAGGTGTATATCCAGGAAACAGTGCGTTTCAGGCATGCTGCATACAAGGCACAGTGCAGGACTTGGGGTCCCTCCAGTAGTGTTTGATGGGGGCTATTCAGAAAGATCTGTCACTTCTAAGGTGGTGTCTCAGTTTAAGTACAAAATTCATGCAACTAAGGGGCTGGATGGACATACTCACCAGAAGCGTTAAAAGGAGGGTGTGGGTGTGCCTCAGCTGGGAGGTTCAGACTCTTACCTGCATGATCTTGTAGTGATGCAGATCACCACAAGCGCTTTACCATGACTCTGAACAACTCAGGGTTACAGTTGTAGTGGCTTTGCTGTGCTCTTAGCACTACAGAGTCATGCGGATGTAACTGGGATACCCTAGCAGCTTACGTTGGTATCCTTTGATAGTGATACGGTCATTACCTCTGTCTTTGCCTTAGCAAATTATTTTTCAGAGATGCTGAGCCCTTCTGACACACAAATGCAGCTAGTGAAGTTCTAGGTCTGTGCTTTGGAACCCTAAAATAACGTGCAGTCTTACATGTTGCTCTTGATTTATTTGAGCCTCTGTTTTCTTCTTTGTCAATTTGGACCAGTAATGTAAATCAGTAATTTGTGAAACCCCACACCCCAAGCATTAGTAAAGCATCTTTGGGTTCTTGAATTAAATGCAAAGTTGTTATTCGGAAATAAATGTAGTTGTTTGTGTTTATGCAGATTAATTTTTTTCCCCTGTAGTGTAACCCAAAGCACCCAGGTTCCCTCCTGAAAGCAGCCCTAGAATTCAGTAATTACGTGTTTGCTGAAGTATGAGCTCCTGGGGTTAGGACTGCATTCTGTCAGCAGTTAGTGTTTGCGGTCCCCTCGAGAGGAGAGGTAGGGGGAGATCCCTGCATGTCCGAGTTGTCGCACATTGTTGAGGATGAGAAGCTTGTCCCATGGTTGCCTGGCTTGGATCAGCTATTTGAATAAATGGAACCTTAGTCCCTTGGCTGTCAAGTGGCATGTTTGAGTGTCAGATTAGGGGAGAAATTTAAGTAATGGGCATCTGACTACCTTTCTGCTTTAGCTGAAACAAAAATTCTTTCTGTCTGTATTTTGCTGCAAGTGAGGATCAGGTATCTTTGATATGGAGGCGAACTTTATGCTGCTTGGACCCTCACAAGGGCCTGGTGGTGGCGGGTATAGTGAGATACAGTGAGTGTGTCTTGCTATCTTAACTGCAGCTGGTAGGAGCAGGTTTGCAAAGAGAGATAAATTTTCTTTGCGTTTTTGTTCTGAGATAACGTTGCTCACCCTGGCAGTTAGCAGTAGGAACATATCTTTACTTTGAGGGAGGCTAGAGGATGAGGCACATTAGTTTTGGTGAAAGAAACATTGCTTTCTCTGATGGCAATGAGTCGCAGAGCCCTGTGTCCCAGATTATTAAAAATTGCCAGTGATGAGACTTTGCACATCTCTGTGACTCACTTGGGAATCTGGCAGCATTTTACAAGAGGGAAAGGTGGTCAGGCTTATTTCACATGTGGGAAAACTAAGGTGCAGAAAGCAAAGTAACTTGCCCACAGCCAAACTGTGAATTGGTAGCAGAGAGATTAGCATGCAGGAGGTCTGGCTCTTCTCTGTAGCTGTGACCTCTAGAATATGCTGCTTCCTTCCAGCTGAGGGTTGGTGGAAGGTTTCTTTAGGTTTTGCTTGGGTAGCATAGTTGCTGTGGACTGTTTAACGTGGGAGTATCAAACACAGGCTGGATCTAGCCCATGGAACCCTGCATCTAGCTCATGGTGCTGCCTCTATGTCTGATCAGACCCATGCAAGGCACATTACACACACATGGCACAGAGCTTATCTGCTAGATAGACTGGGCCCACAGACCCTCTCCCCTTCCCCTGCCCAGCATGTCTGGTCCCATGGCTGTTCCATGGCACAAGATCACTGCATGTGGCTCGGATGTTGGAGTGGCCGGAATAGGCATTGCGTGTGGCATGGTCTGGCTGGAGCACTACCTGCACTGCATGCTGGACTGCGCTGCATGGGGCTGCACACTACACGTGACAGTCTCTCTAGCCAGCCTGGGACCTGTGCTGTGTGTGTGCTTGCAGACACTGGGGCTGGGGGAGTTTGACACCTCTGGTTTAACTTGACTCTTCTGTCAGAATGCAAGGTGAAGGTCACCTCATCTGATCTGGTCTTTGCATTTTTTTTACTGCTTCTAACCTCTGGCCTGCTCTGTCTGTTGCACTCAGCTGTTGTTTTTCCCCATGTGCAAGAGTGAGCTTGGCTCGTGTCAAGCCCAAGCAGCTCCCATGTTTGGAAACAGCTTCTTTGTTTCATTAGATTATTTCTACAAGAAGTGGGAAATTCTGGCCCCTTCTCAGTTCCATAGCAGCACTAACGTTCTGCACTAGGCAAAGCACAGGAGGATTTAGGTTGTCACTCAGCGAACTGGGAGTCAACAAGCTATTTTGTGTGCCTTTGTATAGCCTTGAGACCAGGGGTGCCCAGCCTGCAGGCTTTGTTCCCTAGCACTGTCCAAAATAGTCTGACTCGACTTTCAGTGTAAGCAAGAAAATCTCTGTGCTTCCCTAATGCCATTCACCCAAGCATGGTCCTGGGTAGATTCATCCTTACAGCTTGCCCAGTTGTAGGTAAGTATTTGTCTCTGTCTCTGTCTCTGCCTCGCTTAGCATTGTACGTAGAGTTTTGCCTTCTGTTTAACTGCAGCTGGCTCGGATTCAGACTGACAGTGTGGTCGAGATGCTCTGCAAGCAATACCCTGGCCTTCACTTTGAGATAGGTAAGTGTTCAGGTGCTCCTCAGAGACAGGGAGTGGGTAGGGCGAATGGGGTATAAGCAGAACGACAGTTTCTGTATCTGATAAGGAACCCTTGTCGGTTCCTAGTTATGATCATGTAACTAGGCAGAGGCTGCTCATATAACTAGGCAGAGGCTGCTCATATGTGATGAGGAAGGAGCCTAGAATCTAGGAACTGCTCTGATGCTGACCATGCCTTGCAGATGGCGTTGCTGTTACTCTTGGAGAATTCTGTGGGTCTGCTTGCATTCAGGCATATGTCACCTAGGCACCGTCCTGTCTCGTACTGGTACGAAATGTTGTTCATCTGCAAATTCAAACCTGAGGAGCAGGCAGGAAGCGCTAGAGGCCAGTCCGTCACTGTTGAGCAGGTGCTAGCTTCCAACTGCTTGGGATCAGCAGCAAGGCCAGATAAGGGGCACAAAGCCATGTGCTTCATTAACAATGGAATTATCTCACTTCAGCCTCATCTGCTCAGATGTACCTATCAACATCTACCACGTCTGGTTTATTTTCCTTTTGTATCCTTGGGTATAAAGCACACAAGTGGGAGGCCTGATCTTTACTACTGCTCAGTGCACAATATTTCCAATACTTAACTTTGTTCATTCCCACTTGGATCCTGTTTTAATACCTGCACTAGAGTGGAAGAGTTTGGCACTCTCTGCTGAATGTTGTGCAGGGACTCCCAGAGACCAGGCCTGTGTGAATTTCCATACTTCTGCCCTTAACAAGAATTATGCACCTCTCTCTTTGAATAGTTGCCATGTCAACAACTGGAGATAAGATTCTGGACACGGCTCTTTCCAAGGTAAGTGGCCTCTTCCTCCTTTGTACCAAGAGTGACTGCATTTGATAAGGCTGTGGTGGTTCCCTAATGTGCTTTGTGTTCTTCCATCTCCATTTAGATCGGGGAGAAGAGTCTTTTTACCAAAGAGCTGGAAAATGCACTAGAAAGAAACGAGTAAGAACCCAGCCCTTTTCTTGCTTCCCCCAGGCCTGGAAAAGGTCTGGGCAAATCATATGGCTTCTTCGCATTTCCTCTCTGCATCTGAAATCCAGACAAGCATGTGTATTCCTGTGGTCTCTTTATAATTCAAATAATTTTTAGAACATGTGGAAAGTGGGACAGGCCTGTGAAAGGTCCTGTCTCCTTCTGTGCTGTTGCCTCAGCTACCCTCAGCTGTGGGAGGAACTCATCCTGACAAATCCCCATCTCCTTCCCAGGCAGTAGGAGGATTTGTTGGGACAGTGATGTTCATGCTTTCCAAGCCAGCACTATTTTCTAAAGTATCTGTATCATGTGCCCTGTGTATATTGCTGGTTGCCACACACACTTTGCATCTAGGACTTTCTACAGAAGTATGTGATTTGTTGTTAACAATAAGCAGTCCCTAAAACATCCCTTCTTGCTAATTTTATTCACTAACAACAGTGCAAAGGAATCTGAACAGGTGGTTGCATCCCTTTCTGCAGTGACCTATTTCTGTAGGAAAGTGAAGTTCAGATGCAGAATGTAGCTTAGGGAGACTTCTGCTTTTTACCTCTTATTCCAGATAAGCTGAGAGGGGTACATGCAGCCGGAGGAATATAATTGAAATTGGACTAAAATTCAAGATTCCCTTTTAGGTGGTTGGCATCGATCCAGTCCAACTCCCATTAACGTTAGTGAAAAGCATCCCATAGAATTCAAGTGCCTACAGCTGACCCTTTCACTGGTTGCTCTTTTGGAGGTATGGCATTTTAGCATGGGATAACTGTCTATCAGATGTTCTTTAACTTTAGTGTGTGTAATTCCGTTGAGATGAGGCATTAAAAAATGAATAGGTGCCTCTGTAATGTGTTTGGGCTTCTCCAGCTCTCCTCCTGAATACACATTGCAAGTATTTATGATGCAGCCTCTCCCTGGGGAAGATATCCCAATTTTACAGACAGGAAACCTGGGGTAGAGAGAGTTGACCTGCCCCAGACTGCATACTGAATCAGTAGAAGAACTAGGCACAGTATCCAGGAGTCCTTTTATCATACTTTTCCTCTAAAACAAAGCCCTATGTGGAATTTAATGGGTCAGCCATCTGTAAGCATTTGCAGGTGTCCCGTGGCTCATTCTCCACCTCTGTGCTTTAACTTGTCTTCTCGGATGATTTTTAGAGTTGACCTGGTGGTTCACTCCTTGAAGGACCTGCCAACATCGCTTCCCCCTGGCTTTACTATTGGTGCCATCTGCAAGTAAGTGTGGGTTGAGATGCCTGAGTTCCTGTAGACTTCTTTATTCTCTGCCTTTACATTGTAAAGAAGGCATTGGTGCTGTAAGAACTGTTCCTAGTGGGTCTGGCCGTTACCAGTAACACCGTCAAGGGGGTCAGTCAGGTTTGCTTCCTTCTGTTCCTTACTCGCTGCCCCGGCATTGTCAGATTACAGCCATCATGAGTCTCTGGAAGGAGAGTGGCTGCATTTATGGCTAACAGCCCTCTCTGAGAAACTGGGTGGTGCAAGCAGTTGGCAGTGGGATAGGAAACCTTTCACACTAAATCACCAGTTTGAATCTAGTTCATGGTTTCATAGTTTTAGGGTCGGAAGGGACCTAATAGATCTTCTAGCCCGACCCCCCGCCAGGGCGGGAGAACAACAAAAGAACCCTAAAAACAAAAATGGGACTC